GTACCACTGGTGGTACGCCAGCTCCCGCTAGTGGTACGTGGAGGAATCTGACATATATAAAAAAAAAAAGCACTTCAGATATTCATTGCTATCGGGATGTTAAGAGCATTCCATGGAATATAACAAAAAGTGTATCTCGAGCCGGTTTCTCAAACTTACCTACCCCACCTTTAAGTGGTGGACATGGCAAAAAGAGTTGTTAATAATTGTTAAGATAGGGAACGTGTGTGTCAATAAGCTGGTATAAACCTCTGCCACCGAGACAAATGTGTACAAGTGAAGGATATTTTCATACTCAATACAACTTAAGTTAAGAGGTTACTGTGAGTCATCGTTGTTAAATTGATAAAAAAGAAAAACGACAATGAAACACTTTTTAGCTCAGAGGTGCTAAAAGTTAAAGCTGTGACTGGATTTTTTTCAGCAGGTTTTCTGCAGGTATAGAGTATAATGCTGTCTGTGTATGTGAAGAATGCAAATCTATCTCACAACTTTTACATACAATTTGTGTAAATGCAGCCAAAATGTTCCTCAGTCATCACCTCTTTTCTTGCCTGGGTGCTACAGTATATTGTGTATTTGTTGCGTTGAACAATATACTTTTTGTTTTTATACAGTATATCCATTGTTGCTCTACACTTTAGTTGCCTTTTCAAAGTATTTTTGTTGTTGTTACCCGTTAGCCTTTAATGCTGGCAGATTGATGATGAAACTGGAAAGCATCCACTCATTTTACTCAAGCTATTAAAGTACTAACTATGAAGACATTTGATTTAACGATCAGTTTTATTTAATGATTGCTGCACGTCTCCGTCTTGTTAAAGTGCTCTATCTCTCTCTCTCTCTCTTCACAGAAGAAGTCGTTGATCGCCACCAGTCTGATCGTGGCGGTGTCGCTCTTCGTGGTGGTGGTGAACTACTCGGAGAAGCCGTACTTCCTGCTGAAGCCGGTGTTGGATCAGACGTTCAGCAGCCACTGGATGTTCTCCAAGCAGCCGTACAAGGCCTTCAAACCTCACCTGGGCTACGTTAGCATCCCCAAACAGGAAGTGAGTGACACACAGACTAAAAACACAAACACTAAGCAGCATGCACAATCAGAAATGGCAACCTCACTCAACCTCAAAAAGTTTCACACCTCTACTAGACTTGATATGAGTTGATATTTAGTCCCATCAATTACAGTAGGTCAGCAAACTTGTTACTTTTCTTACTGCTAATGCTAACATTGTCTGTCAGCTGGTTACCTTAAAGGTGCTAAATAGATAGTGTACAGAACACTATCTATTTAGCACCAAACGGTGGTTCAAGATGAACCAGGGGTCTTGAATTTAAAGAATTTAAAGTTGTCGTTACTTTGTCTTACCCAATCTTACAGCTGAAAGTGACAGACGATAACATTAAAAAAGCTAATTCAAAATGAAAATGACGAAAAAGGAAAACGTTGGTACATGTCAGTTATCAAGGGGAAACAACAAGAAACTAATTATTGCAGATTATAGATTATAAATAAATCATTTAGAGACAAGGGGGTGAGATTAAATAAGTTATACTTCTTCTCACTCCTTTTCGAACACTAGATGTGGCACTGCTTATGTTGCTAATGCTGTTGTTGTTGTAAATGTAATTTTTTTGTTTTGATTTCTCTTACATGACTATGCACTGCAACATTTATTTTTGTTTTGTAATTATTTATTTTACTTGTTCGAAATAAAATGTATCAATCAAACTTCCATTTGTAAGATATGAAGTGACTAAACACAGTTAACAGTTAATAACTTCACAATGGTAATCTGAAGCTTTAGTTTTAACGTTGTTTGAACATAATTTAATCGACCAGTCAACAAGTGGATAACATCAATGACAGCATATCTAATATTTTACAATGAGCCTTTTGGAATTTGTCGTATGAAGGTATTTCTGTCATAACGTCTCTCACAGGTTATTTTATTCTGCATTTATATTCTAAAACCCTCAGTTGACGTTAACCCGCCATCAGGCAGCTTCACCTCGATAATGAAGGTGTATTCATAAACGCTCATTCAGACAGCAAAGCGCCTCCTTGAGGATTTCTTCATTCATTAACTCAGGTTCTCTGTGATTGTTCTGAAAACGCCTGTTTGAGCTCTCTGGTGTGCACTCTTTCTTTATAATTCCAAACAGCCATGTCCGTGATCCTATTCTTCTGCCTTCAAACACCACTCAGCTGTAAATTCCCCGCACAATTTATGGAAATTGAAATATCAAAGCATTTTAATTCCCACCATAACAAAATGTAAAAAAACAAACTGTCTGTTTGTTTTTTGAGGGAAGCAGCCTGAAAAACCCCGAAACTGGTGCACATTGGGTAGTCACGCAGGAAAATCGTTTATTTTTCTCGCAGAAATGCGTGCAACGTTTCAGTCTGACGGGGAATGAGGAGAGCGCTTTCAGTTTGGGCTGCAACGCATCTCGATTTGGAGTTTCGATGGGCGCGTTGGTCCTTAATGAGAAGAGGATGCCTTGTATTCAGCACGCTGATATTGGCAGATAAATGCGGAGCGCCACCCTCTGCCTCAGGAGGTTTTCATCCACACAACGCAGGCCCAGAGGCAATCACGTATTTCACCAGTCTCTACGTCTGCACCTCCTTCTGCCTCCAGACAAGCCTGCTTAAATCAATGCCCCCTCCCCATGGAGAGATGTATGCAAATCATAGGAAAGACTGGCAGCGATTGTAGAATTACGCCTCGTTTCGGCTCAAATTCCCCCCAGCAGTGAGTTCTTCACAGCCAATCAGAAAAAGGCAGTGATTGACCTGGACGAGTGTGTCAAAAATGTCCTGCACGCTGCCAAAATCTCTGACAAAGGATGGACAGAATAGTGGAGGTCTGGTCAAGGTGATGCTCGTGTGCCGGTTGTCGTAAGCGATTATGTCCGGAGTGAAAGCCGCTGTGTGAGCTGTCAGCCTCTGTTAAGCACACAGCAACACCTTTAGAAGCAGCAATATTTCTCCCAGACAGTAAGGCAATCTTACATGACCCACAGTGAGGTGTCATTCCAGGTGTTAGAAACCTCTTGCAAGCATGTATAATGCATAACCTGGTTAACTTGGGGAATGGCCGGCCTTTTTTCTTCATTTGATTGAGTCTGCGTTCAGGTGTGATGAATCGCCCCCGCTCTGCCTTTCAGGAGAAATAAAAAACATTTGTCTTGTGGCACTTTATATTCAGGACCCTGGTTCATCTAGGTTGGAGGCAGAAACTCATTATTTTCATTTTAGACGTATTTTTTTTCTATTACACACTGACCTTTTGAAATGTGCTATTGTGCAATATGAAGGAAAATATGCTTCTATTTTTTTATTATTATTAGAAACTCTTAGGTTCTAGGCAAGCTGAGACGTAGCTATATTTTCACCTCATCATGCAAACATGCTGATGTTTATCACTTAATGTTTAAAACTGTTGACAATCTTAGTTCTGCATGTTAGTGTCCTGCATGTCTTGATTAACACTAAACACAAAATTCATTTTAGGATGATGAAAATGTCGTGTCGACGTGTTGGATGATATTTTTACCAAAGTGGGTGCATTTTTGTGAAATGGCATAGACTGTAGTCGGTCTTTTTTAGGTAAAATAAATACTCATCTCTTCAAATGGTACATTTGGTAAAGGGAAAGCATTAATATTGCACTTTATCCAGTTTTTTACAACGCCTCAAATGCTTTACATATACAAATCATGATTCTCCCGTTCACACAGGCAGGGGCAGCTGTGCAAGCTGCCACCTGTTCAAGGATCTAACAACACACACACACACACACACACACACACACACACACACACACACACACACACACACACACACACACACACACACACACACACACACACACACACACACACACACACGTCCGCAGAACTACACGTACTACGTACGTTACNAAGGATCTAACAACACACACACACACACACACACACACACACACTCCGCTGGCCATGACATCGGTTAAGTATCTTGCCTAAGGATACATCGACATGTTGCACTGCAGGGGCTGGTATCGAAACCCACCACCCTTTCTGCTTGACAGACGACCGCATTAACTTATTCACATTAACTTCAATAAGTAATGTGAATAATTTCTGCATTTAAAATCTTCAAATTACTTTGTCTTTTGAGGCATATATAAATATTTCATCTGTGGAAGCCCTAGTGCTGTAAAAAGCACAACCAATCATCTGCCTCGGCCCGGGTCAGATAACTGGATGGCCTACCTGCCTGTCAGCCTTCCATCTGTGCACAAACTGATCTCGTGCCCTCAGGCTGATTGGTCATGTGCGCGTTCGTGTGTGTTGGAGGAGGGGCTCTGTGAGGAAGTCTGAAGGAAGGGGCAGATTTTTTCCGGTTGTGTACTTTCAAATTCTAGCTTACTCGAGCTGGTTTCTCCATTCTTACCAACCCTACCTTTAAGTGCAGTACTGCATGTGAATGTAATTATTTACGTCCCACCGCTGCCCTGTAGTATAATGTTTGTGCCCCAAAAGGAGCTTTTGTACTGGGACTCGGCCCCATTAATGTAATCATTATTGCTATTAATTCATTGTGTTTAGAGCATTTTAATCAACGTCAAGGTTAACTTCACACCCCGGTGCTATAATCAAATGATGACTGAGTTCACAGCATTAGGCCTTCTTATTTATTTTTAAATAACCTACTTTATCTTCGACACAGTCATGCATTTAAATCTGAGGCTTTCAGTAGATGTTGTACTTATCCGAGCGTGGCAAAGTTATTGGGATTATAAAAGTGCCCCCTGTTTACGATTACTGCATGGCGCACTGAAACAGCCCCATCGTAAACATGAAACTGAAACATGAATCACAGCTGAGCGGACGAAGAGGCCATAATATTTTATTGATGTACAGGAAGTAATGGTCAGAGGTTTGTTGGCTCGAATCCAGTCATATATACAAAATCAAAAAAGGGTTTCTAGTCGTTAGATTACTTTTTTACACTCTTCATTAATAAAGTGATTCATGTTCATCGGAAACTAATAACGTTTTATATTTGTGAACTACTCAGAAGCCGTTTTTTATTTCTAAATGAAGCTTAATTAACGAAGGAGTAATCTCACTTGGTTCTGTTTTTATTAATTAACATCCTCACTGAGCATCTCCACGGCAGCAGTTGTGTGTAAAATGCCTTGCTCAGGGGCTCCTTAGCGGCAGGTTTTCACCATGTGTCTGCCATGCAGTTAGCCAGCCTGCGTTCCCCACAGAGTTCTGCCAATCTGTGTGTGCGGAGAGGCGTGATGGAGTTATGAGCCGGCTGAGGGGGATGATGGACGAGCTGCTGACAGCTCAAGGCTGCGCTGATGTGTGTCTTAACCACCCTGCAAACGGAGAGTTAGCCCAGGTGCAGAGATCGTTTCTTAACCCCTGACTGAATCCATACATGAGAGGAAAAGCAATAGCAGGTAGCTCTGGTGGAGAATCCTAAGCAGGTGATCTGCTCTATTCACCACTATTACCTCATTCACACCAACGCAACTCCGGTTCAAGCTCTGTGCTAGAGCTTTTCAGGTTCAGAACCGGTTCTTCGGTTTAGCTCCGGCTCTTTTCACGCCGCCCAGAGTCCGACTGGTGCAGTGTCAATCATTTGTGTCATGACGTAACCCGTTTGCCGTGCCTCTTCATAAAGCAAACCGCGCGAAACCCCTCACAGCTAACACCGACAACAACAACAATGGCCGATTGTGCTCCAGCTTCCTCTGTAGCCTTCTTCAGAAGACCCGAGATTTCCCAGTAGGTAGCTGGTCTCTTCAGTGGACCTCTGCTTGCTTGTTAATTTCTCCATCATTGTGGTACAAACCTGGATAAAACGCCGGCTTTGTTGTTGTAAAAAAAAAAAATGGCAATGTAAATGTTCAGGAGTTGATGCCCTGCCCCTGCCCCTGGCCCTGCACCTGCTGCCCTACACTGCCCCTGCCCCTGCCCTGCCCCTGCCTCGACCATAAGCGTCGACCGTATATGGTGCTTTGGTTTGGCCTGGACAATATTTTGGTGCTCGAAATGAACCCGTGATTCCGGAGCTAAGAGGCTGCTCCGCTGCCGGTGTGAACACGAAAACCAGGTGCTTTTCAAGCCTCCAGCTTCCGTAACCGGCCCTGAAACACCGTATGGTGTGATGAGGGTATAAGTGGTGATAAGTGTAGCGGCGGGTTCTCTTCTCTTGATTATATCAAGTTGCACACTTTGAACCAGGCCCTGATACAATGCTCCTTTTTTTTTGTGTTTAATGACAACCATGACTTGTGTTTTGATTAATGCTGCTGGACTAACTGCTCACAGTAACAAACCAACAAAAACAGGCTTCCTATAATGATTTAAAGATGATTTAATTACTATAATAAATAACTACTGTATGTAACTATGTGGGCGACTGTGGGCTCAGAGGGAGTGCGGTTGTCTTTCATCAGAAGTTTTGTGGGTTTTGATCCCCCAGCCCCGGTGCAGTCAACATGTCGATGTGTCCGTTGGTCCTTAACGCCTGAGTTTCTCCGATGCATGAATGTGTATCGAATGTTGGGGATCCGCGCTAGATCAAGTGACCGCTGCTCTGTGTGAAATGAGTGAATGTACTCCGTAGTATGTAAAGCGGCATTTGACGGGTCGTTAAAGTTTTGATAACGCGCTGTATAAGTACAGTCCCATTTACCGTTTACCATCACTCTTGTACATTGGCAACCTTCGATTGGTTAACGCTCCAATCACAGTTGTACTTCTTAGGCTAAGGGCGGACATCTTTAAGTGGCTGACGCAAGCTCACCAACCAGAAGGCCGGCCCAGCTAACCAATCAGAGGCAGACCCTGGGCTCTGGTTTCAGAAGAGGGTGAAAAGAGGTGCTGCAGTAATCATTGAAGCATGGAGACATGTTATAAGCAGAGACACTAATACTGATATAAACCATGAAAATGAGCGTAATTTTTATCCACGTTGGCACATACATTGGTTCTGCTTAGCGAGATTGTAGCTGGTACACATATAGAATAGATTAATAACAAGTATATAATTATAATGTACAAGCCCGGCAGAGTATTTACGAGTTTTTCATTTATCCACCTCCCCACACCGCAGGACAAGCACTCCCCATGCGGGAAGTCCACTAGTTTCCCGCGGTGATGGGCTTTCATGGCTGCATTGTTACCTTGGAACTGTAAGCGCTATTATTTAAATATGAAAGAAAATAATAGCCTCAAATTAAGGTCACATGATTACCTTGCTGTTTGAAAATGTTTACCAATTAAACGTGTTATTTATTTAATGTTTTGAGGCCAGATGTTGCATACATCAAGATCGGTCATAATATAGCGAATTTTAATACATTGGTAGACTGTGAGATTCTTTTTGCCTCACTTAAACTGTTCCTTGTTTGTTTGATAAAACGTGCAAGAGAGAACTTTGGCCAGACTACATGCAAAAATGCAATTTAATACTTCAACACCAGTGAATTACAGTTACCCCTCCAGTTAAAAGGCAAAGATCAACAGGGCTCCGTCAGACCGCCGATGCTTTTTTCTTTTTAAAGCTTTCCTCCCTTGCATTCATTCACTTTAAGTACATTTAATCTCATCCAAAACAAAATAGCATATAGCTTAAATTAGGTTAAATCTCCCAGTTGGATTCAGAGAGGCTCTTTCCCTCTCTTGCCAAAAGCTTAGCTAAGAGCTATTATTGAAGATTCATTTACAAAATCCCCCCCCGCTCCCAGTAAAGTAATTAATCACAACGATATTGTAAAA